CTGGGACTCAAGCTGGCACTCTGATATCTCTGATGTGGGGTGTGTGTGTCCCAAGCAGTGGCTTAACCCACTGTCCCCGTTTCTGGGTAGATGTCTTTTTCTTGCTGAGTTTTAATAGTTCATTATATATTCTCCATCCAGATCTCTTCTCAGATAAATGCCTTGCAAATATTCTCCCCAATATGTGGGGGGGCTTTTCGCTCTTCTGATGGTATCGACCAAGAAAGCATTTTACCAGGAAACAGGAGAAAAATGGTGGAAGATCTTTTCGTTGTTCTTAACAGATGTTTAGAATGGAGCATGCAGCAGCTTACGCGTGTGATGAAGTTGCCTTTTCTCCCATTGCACCTGTAGCAGTCAGGCTGGTGAGATCAGCTGTGTCCTGCAGGTCTGATGTGTAGGCTGTTACCAGGCTGAAGAGGCAAGGACGTTTTACTGAGGCAGTAAAGCCCGAGACATTTCAAGAAATGGGTTTCTCCGTGGAAGAGCCCATCACCTCTGATGTGGAGTGCGAGATCAAGTTCATCACCTAGAAAATGTGTGCTGTGGTCTCTGGATTTGGTTGGATTTTTATTCCTCTAAGTCTCTGTTGCATTTGTACTATATAATGATTTCCCACTGGCTTTAATAAAAGGAAATAATGTAGCCAGGAAAACGAGCCTTCACAAAATTAAAGGTGTTACACATGTTTTTATAAGGGCGTTTATTAAAAAAGAATGGAAAGTTCAGTATCTCTATGGACCTTTTATAATCCAAATGGAATATTAGGGAATTTGGCACTTTCCCTATTGCTGTGCTTGAAACCTTCTGGACACGCTCTGATGAGTTTAAATTATGTGGGAAAGAAGTTCGTGCTAAGAGTTGAAAGGCAACTTGGCTGGAAAGGTCCTTGTTACAAAGGGACCTCACTGTGTGCTGCAGTCACCACTTGCTTCTTGACTGTCACACATGCATGAGGCATAGGTCTACGGAGAAGAAAGAAATGGTGGAAACTCTAAATTGCCGGTTAGAGGGGAGAGAGGGAGGTGCAGTGGTGTCCAGAGACTCGAGAAGGCTGCAGATTAGATGTGATGTTTAATTGGGCCCAGAATCCCCAGGTGAGCAGAGAACGCATTCTGGATGGAGATGGTGCCGTGAGCGCGAAGCAGCGTGAGCTAGCGGAGTCAGTAATGGGAGATAGTGTTTGCAATGCTTTTTAATTCCTGGCTCAGGGGTTTGATGTTAAATTCATCCAGGATGTGGATCCACCGACGGTGTTTGAGTGCCGCAGTCGACACTGGCGGATTCCACGGATACTTGTTTATTAGCATCGCCAGGTGTTCTCCGGCCGTCCGGTGTTGGCTCCGCTGAGACAGAAGCAGGGTCTAGTGGTGGAGGCAGCAGGTCCTGACCACTGCCCCTCAGGCTTCCTTTCTAAAAACTTCTCATCCTGATGGTGAGGTTGACAGCTTCCACCTGGTGGTCAGTTTTGGTTTTGCACGCGCTGTGCTTAGTGGCTAATCCATACAGAAGCCCCGAGGTAGCTATGTGCTTATTAATCCCTGTTTTACAGATGAGGAAACTTGAAATTTCGAGATTAAATTTCCTGCCCTGAGTTGTACAGCGAGTGAGCAGCCGAGCTGGTGATTGGACCCCAGTGCAAGCGGAGTCTCTTCCACGCCGCGTTGCTTCTTTGATGGCGTCGCAGGGCCAGGTCCCTTCTGTTAGCACTGCCACATGGGGTGGGCTCTGTGTGTGTGTGTGCCCAGGGCCGCTCCCAGGTCTCTGGTTAGTAACTGCACACAGTCCAGGCTCGGGAAGATCTCCTTGAGTGTCACATGGCATGTCTCTGCTCTGGCTCAGTATGCATTCGTTAGTTCATGTGTTTGTGTGTGGCAGGGAGGGGCCTCGTGCACCTGTTGTGTGCCTGGAGCAAGCTCACAGTCCTCCCGTCTGGAAAATGGGCCAGTGGGCTGCATCACTTCTGGATCGGCACCTGTTCCTAGGAATTAACAAAGAAGGAACTGTGATTCTGGGCTACCTGGGTGCTCGGGACAATCTCGTGGGGGAACAATAAAGCCGACCGCCATTCATTTCAGGCCTGGTCTCTGGCAGCACCAGGAACTGTCGTGTTCATAAAACTTGTCATAATTTGGCTTTGTGGACCTTACGTTCTGCTCGACATCAGTGAGCTACACGTGAGGTCATGTCCTGGGTTGCTTGAATTTAGAAGTGCACTGCTCCCAGAGCGGCCTGCTGGGTCACCGTCTACATATTTTCCCTCTTTCTCATCCTTTTGTTCTTCATTTCACCGTATTTCCTTCTGCCTTCTCTGTTCATAGTTTCTCCTTCTCACCCAAGACTGGATTCCTGCCCCAGACCAGTATAATCAGTCTGATGGGATAGGGTCCAGGACTGGGGTGTTCAAAGCTTCCATTATGGCTTGTGCTGTGCACACAGGGCTGAGAGCCGGCTGCCTGTGTTCCAGGTAGGCCAGTCCTGCCCTGTCCACTCCCTGCTCCTCTCTCATTAGCGCTGCCTGAGAGAAGGGGGAGTACAATTAATTAAAATGAAGCAGTGCAGTCGTCATGCCCGTGTGCTGTCTCCTGTTGGCAAGTTTTAATGACAGTTCTGTGTGTGTCCCGATTTTCTATCCTAGTCCACTCCAGACTGCCTGTCTGACATCCCAGGCCTCTGCATCCATCTGATGGCTATGACAACTTAATGTCGGTTAATTACAGTTAAGGCACAGTGCTAAGACAGCTACATTTATGGATTCCCCAAAGGAGTTCAGATTGTGGACTAGGTTATTCAGCAATTTCTATAAAAAGATCTGTGTGTATTTATAAAAATATTCAGTGCACATAAAGGGAAGATGGTAGGAGATATATCAGCATATTTATTATGACTGGTAGAGTCACAGATGGCTTTCTTTTGTTTTCATATCTACAGTATAAATTTCCTATAATGTGTGTGCATTTCTCATATATTAAATCTTAAAAAGAAGATATACCCTAGGTAAGACAGGGGTTTGGAATGTGTGTGTTATTTTAAGCTCTGGAGGCCAAAATACTCAGTGGGATATTGAGGATAGTACTATCCTGAGAGTGAGTGAGTAGCGAGGCTTGGCATGAAAGCTGAGATTTGGATCTTTGTTATTTTTGTTTTTTCTTATTATAGCTAAGCTAAACTCCTATCCTCCCTTGGCTGCTGTTTTGTTTTGTGGAAGGCGTGAGTGTTGTGAGAGTGTTAATCCATGAAAAGATGTCGTTGTTAGTGTACTGTTCTTGTTTTTGATGCTGATAGATTGATTTTAAACAGTGTCTGTTATTAGGGGTACTTCCTAAGATACTTATAATAGTGGAGGCAGGGCCAGCGCTGTGGCTCACTAGGCTAATCCTCCACCTAGCGGCGCTGGCACACCGGGTTCTAGTCCCGGTCGGGGTGCCAGATTCTTTCCTGGTTGCCCCTCTTCCAGGCCAGCTCTCTGCTGTGGCCTGGGAAGGCAGTGGAGGATGGCCCAAGTGCTTGGGCCCTGCACCCCATGGGAGACCAGGAGAAGCACCTAGCTCCTGCCTTCGGATCAGCGCGGTGCGCCGGCTGCAGCGTGCCAGCCGTGGCGGCCATTGGAGGGTGAACCAACGGCAAAAGGGAAGACCTTTCTCTCTGTCTGTCTCTCTCTCACTATCCACTCTGCCTGTCAAAAAGAAAAAAAAAAATAGTGGAGGCAGGATGTTGACCTAGTGTGTGTTCATCTTTTAGCATTGGCTTGTTACTGGAGTTTAACACTTCTGGTATGCATTGGAATTTTAATTTTAAGTAAGACACAACTAGAAGAAGTGATTTAAACCAAAATGTAAAAGTAGTTATCTCTGAGTACTGTTATCAACTCATTTTAACAGTACTCAAAAAATAAATAAATAAATAAAAAAGCACAACCGCAAAACCACGCTCAATTACTAACAGATGTTTTGTTTCTGCCCTGACTTCTTTCTTTTTGTTGGTCGAAATACAAGGTGGGAGAGCCTCTTGCCACATGGTAGGGAGAACAGCGTCGTGCGTGCGTGTTTCTCCAAGACGGTTTCTTCTGAGTTGCATTTCCACTAATCTGTGGGGAAATTTGGCTGTGAGCGTGCAATGATTACATTTTTATCCACAGAATGGTCTAAAGTTGGCATCACATTCCTCACGGTTGCCAGAGGCAACACACGGAGTTAATTTGTGCCCCGCGGCAGACATTTTTGGATAATTTTAGGAGTTTGTTTTCCAAAGCCGCCTTTTCTGTTTCCCTTGCCGTCTCTGACCTTTCCTCGATCCCCTCCTCCCTGATCTCACCCCTTCTGGGTCCTTGGCCATCTGGCCTGGCTGAGGAGCGTGGGGTCACTGAAGGTCCCGAGGGTTGTGCAGGAGGACAGCCCTGCCTGGCCCTGCACAGGTCCGGATGCTGGCCTGGTCCCGCCTGGTGGCTATCAGTTCTTCCAGAGGCCGGAGGAAAGCAGAGCAGATCTTAGTGTGGCATCCTGAAGCCTGACATGGAGGCTGAGATGGGGGCCCTGGGAAGGGTGCATCTGGGAATTTTGACTTCTTTGGTGTAGGTTGACATTTCATGGAGCGCTCCCTTCTCCTGTTGGATTTCTTCCCATGCCTTTGATACTTTTGTCACATTAACTGTTGTTTATCCCAGAGGGTCAGCAGATGGATTTAACTTGAGTGTGGATCTCTGTTCTCTTAGGTCGATGGTTCCAGAAGCACAAGGGTAGAGCTGCCTGTTCCTCCCAGGAGCTGGCCAGTACTCCTGCTGGCTGCTGTCAGCAGGCTGCCTTGTACCAGTGTCCTTTGCCTAAGGGCTTTGGGGTGGGCACGCTTTCATGGAGAATGCTTGCACATGCAAAAGCTGTTTGTATGTAATAGATGTTTGTTTTGCAAGTACATCCGTAGGATAATTGGAAAGGGGAAGAAAAATGTAATGCTTCGATCCGTTGTGTATAGAAATTAATCTTTTTTTTTTTTTTAAACTGCAGAGTGGACACAAATATCTACCAGATACCTTCGAGAACAGTTGGCCAAGATTTCTGACTTCTACCACGTGGCCTCCAGTGCTGGCGATGGCCCTGTCCCTGTGCCCCCGGAGGTGGAGCAAGCCATGAGGCAGTGGGAGTACAACGAGAAGCTGGCGTTTCACATGTTCCAGGTAACCTCTGTGAGACAGGCAAGGCTATGCTGCCTGCTTTTCAGAAGAGAACAAACCCCACACCCAGTCATGCGTTGTCTAACGGAGGGGACCTGTTCTGAGACCGTGTCGCTAGTCGTGTCATTGTGTGAAGATCATTGAGCATCATTGTGCAAGCCTAGAAGTACAGCCTACCACGCATCCAGGCTGCATGGCATATACCCATAGGATGCCAAGTTCTGTTGTCTACCACAATGTCCTTGCGAGACATGTGACTGTAGTTGGGTTTTCTAGGGGTTAAACTGTATCTTCAGTTGGCGCAGTATGTTTAGAGAAAGCAATCTGATACCTTTTTTCCTTCAATATTGCATTAAAAACTTTAAAAACATTTTTGTTTTCATTTTATTTGAAAGGCAGACAGGAACTGTCCATCTGCTGGTTTACTTCCAGCAACTTGGGCTGGGTCAGGCCAAAGCCAGGAGCCTGGAACCCCATCCAACTTTCCCACGTGGGTGGCAGGGACTGAAGTACTTGACCCATGTGACCTGCTGCCTTCCAGGGTGCACATCAGCAGGAAGCTGGGATGGAAGTGGAGGAGCCAGGACTTGAGCCAGGCACTCTGACATGGGATGTGGGTGTCCCGAGTGGTGACTTAATTACTTTGCCAAATGCCAACTCTTGTTTTACAAACGTTTCTGACTACCATGTAATACCTGCACATTTTTTATGGGGTGCAGTACAATATTTCTTCTTGTTGTTTTTTTAATTTAATTTTCTTTCTTTAAAGATTTATTTATTTATGTGAAAGTCAGAGTTACACAGAGAGAGAAGGAGAGGCATTGAAAGAGAGAGGTCTTCCATCTACTGGTTCACTCCTCAGTGGGCCGCAATGGCCAGAGCTGTGCTGATCCAAAGCCAGGAGCCGGGAGCTTCGTCTGGGTCTCCCATGCGTGAGCAGGGGCCTAAGGACTTGGGCCATCTTCTAGTGCTTTCCCAGGTGATAGCAGAGAGCTGGATCAGAAGTGGAGCAGCTGGGACTCAAACTGGCACCCATATGGCTTTACCCGCTACGCCACGTGCCAGCCCCTGCAGTACAGTATCTCAACACACATGCATGTTGTGAACCAGTCAAGCCATGCAACTAGCACCTTGGTTTCCTTCTCTTCGAGGTGGGCGTCCCCAGCGCCTCTTCCAGTTCCTTTTCCAGTATCTAGTACGTCGCTGTCAACTGCCATCGTGCTGCTCTGCTGTGGAGCTTGTTACTTGTGTCTCGGTGTGTTTCGGTACCTGCTTTTCAGCCTCAGCCTCTCCCCTCTCCCGCTGCTCTTCCCAGGCTCCAGGAATCACTGTTGGCAAGCTGACATTTCTGAACACCGTCCTCGGGACGCAGCACAGTTGCCTCGGGATGACAGCTTAGCATACGTATTTGTTCCCAGCTCTCAGTGATGTCAGCTTTTTCACCACCGTTAATTACTTTGTTGTTGTGCTATTAAATATAATGCCTTTTGAGTCTTCAATTTTGCAAAATTGTATGTATATATATTCAAAAATACCTTTGTGCTCATGCCTGTTTCCCCACATACCTACCTCATTTATAGCTGAATTACTTTGGGCAGGGTCATATTGACTGGTTCAATTGCAGGTGAAAATGCAAACGGGGTTGGGGGGAGCAGTGTAAGCCGGATCTGAATCGCACTGACCAGAAGAGGGGCCTTTGTCCCCTGGCAAGGTGGGAGGAGAGGTTCTCAGTGAGGTGGTATTGTTAGCACCAGGACTGAAGAGGAAGGGGAGCGTGGTTTTCTAACTTGCCCTGAAGAGGCTTAATCACAATTTCTAGGTGGTAACTCCCAAGAGCTCCACATGGAACAAACATGGTCCTATTGGGAAGCAGTGTTGTTGGCTTGTAGTCAGCAGAAGCAACTCTTACAGAGCCTACTTCCCTTTAGAACAGGATGACTTCCGTGCCTGCCCTGAGCTTTGTGGCTTTGTCTGAGCAGAGGAGTTGCTCTGCGTCTTGGAGTAAGCATCTCACAGCGTGCTTAGTAGTTTTGGAAGTGTTTACGTATTGGGAACCCTGAAATCAGTATCTCGTACAGAAAGCAATAAGGTTCTAGAGTGCTCAATGGAACAGAAACATCAGTGTGTTAGGTTTAAGTAGTTCATTATATATATGATTTACTGTATTCTTTATCCGAGACAGACCCTAGTACATACACATGCAGGCCAATGTGCAGAATCAGGGGCATGGGAGCAGATGCAGACTCACTATTACTTCCATGTAATATCTATGTAGATTTATTGGCGTTTTTTAAAAAGATTTTTTTTTCTTTGAAAAGTAGAATGACGGGAGAGATGGAGAGAGAATTTTCCATCCTTCGTTCTCTCCCCAAAATTGTTACAACAGCCAGGTCTGGGCCAGGCCAAAGCCAAGAGCCAGGAACTCCATGTCTCCCATATGGATAGCAGGGCCCCAAGCACTGGGGACATCTTCTACTGCTTTGCTTTCTCAGGCCCATTAGCAGGGAGCTGCATCAGAAGCAGAGCATCCAGGGCTCACACTGGTGCTCTGATACAGGATGCTGGCATTGCAAGTGGTGGCTTAGCCCATGGAGACACAACACTGACGCCTGCATTTTTAACTTTGGGTCTCAAGTGTGTGTGTCATCTCTTGTAACTTACTGCAGCATTCCATTTTACTTATTTATAAATTGTCTGTATATTTTTAATTTGAAGTTCACTTTATAGGCCTTAAATTTTTAAGTTGTCATTTTTCTGTGACCTTATGTCCACTTTGACTCTGTTTTTAAACTTAGAAATTAACAAGTAAATATTTGGTGTCATGTCAGTGTAAATACTGCAGCTGTGTGATTTTCTCACACAAATCCTTGATAGCCTTGGCAGTAGATCACTGGTGAGAAATTAGTTAGGAACAGAATGGGATTCTGTATTAACTACTCAGCTTGGCCATAAAAGTATAAGTGTGTTATCCAAGAAACATTTTTATTTCTACCTGGAAGATTCTTTCAGTCTGTGAATCATAATTCAAAACTCTAATTTGACATTGAATATGTATGCATAGGATGTCATCAAGGAGTGTAATTGTGTGTATGTGTATACGCACATACAGACACACATTTAGAGAAACGAGACAAAAGATGTCGATAGTGTTTCTAAGTAGGCATATGGCACTTCCGTGGGACATCTTAGTTTGTTTTTCAGCGTAGATGTGTTGGAATATTTAACATTATTTTATCATAAATTCCTTGTATTTCCTTTTACTATAGTTAGATCATTATACCAATTTTAAGGTTATAATTTTGTAAGTAAGCTACTGTATCTAAAGTTCATTCTAGAATAGTGAGGGGGCCAGTCAGTGGATATTGGCTCAGGTGTGATTTTGCAGGCTGTTGTTGATGATGAGATGAGCAGTGCTTTTCTTATAATTATCATCAGCCAGGTTTCCTTCTGCAAGTGTGAGCTCATAGACCCACATGTCCAGCCAGGGGCTTGACACAACTGGGTGTGTGAAAACATCTTAATTTCCTTTCCTGTCGTTTCTTTTTAATTTAGAGCAGAGGTTACCAAGAAACACACAGAATCCAAACAACAACAGCAGACCTTGAGTTTTTTGTTTCATTTGAAATTTGAACAGTGATCAATGAGACCATGTTTGACTACAATAATGAAAATAGTGGTAAAACTACACTGAAGCATAAAAATGACAGTGGCCTCAGGTTGGGTGTTTAGCCTGGCTGTTAAGAACTGGTTGGGACACCCCCAGCACACATCAGAGTACCAGGGTTGAGTCCCAGCTGCCCGCGGAAGCCAGCTTTGTATGAATGCACACCCTGCGAGGCTGAGTCCCCGCGTGTCCTGTGAGGCTTCTGCATGGTGTTCCTGGCTCCTGCATTTGACCCCCAACACGGGGCCTTTTGGGCATTTGAGTAGTGGACAAATGGAGGATCTGTTTCTCTGCCTCTCAAATTGGTAAATACAAAGCAGAAAAGAAGCTCAGTTTTTTTTTGGGGGGGGGATTAATAATACCATTTTAAAAAATTATTTTGTAATTTAGTGTAATTTTTGGAATCTTATTTTTGATTGATTTAAGGAAGGAATGCTGGAGAAACACGAATACCTGACGTGGATCCTGGATGTCTTAGAGAAGATCAGACCCATGGATGACGACCTCCTTAAACTCCTGCTGCCCCTGATGCTGCAGGTATGGTGCTTGTCACCCTGAGTTGGTCGGTTCCATTGGTAAGAGATGTGCCTGATAAGAAGCGATTAGGTAAGTGGAGGTGGACAAGACAAGAAAATTCCTTTTGAAATGGAAGGAGAATGTGTCTTGGATGGGATAAGAGGCTTCTAATAGATTTTAGCCATCATTTGTGTTAAAAAAAATATTCAGCGATTTTATCTGTCTTAGGTAAGCTCACGTTGATTTCTCCCATCCCTGAGCTAAGCAGAGATCTCTTAAAATACTGTTTGCCTGTTCATACAGATTACTGTGGAAACAGAACTCGTATCTTTTTAGGGATATAGAAGGTCTCCTACACTCTTTTCACAATGCTTTGAGCTCCTTTCGGGGGTTAGGGAACATCTAAATTTGATGATTAGTCGAAGATCTTTTCAAGTTTAAGTTATCTGGAGGAGACTTAATTAATTTTTTGTGTGTGGTCAGGTAATGCATGCATGTGCTAATTCAAAGAATGTGAAAGAGAATCCGGTGAATACAAGTTCTCCTTCTTGTGCCTTCCCCAGTTACTCCCCGTCCTAGGGTCCTGCGCATCCCCCCACCCCCCCAGGCTGATGTGCCTCTGCTTATCTATTATGGTAGCCACTGGCCACCTCTTGAGCACTGGAAACATGACCCGTGTGAACTGAGGGGTGCTCTAAATGTAAGGTGCACACCGTATTTCAGACTTCACACCAAAAAGAGTGTATAATATTAATAGTTTTCTATGTTGAAATGACAACATTTGGGATATATTGGGCTCAGTAAAATATAAGTGTGCTTCAAAAACTTCATGGAAAATGGAGTTAAAAGGCCAGTTTGTTTTGGTACAGAAAGTTTCTGAAATTCATGAAGTCTTCTCATAATGTACTTTTCCTTGAAGCTTTTAAAAACTATTTGTTTGAAACATGAAGAGAGAAAGAAGTGAGAGATCTCCTATCCGTTGGTTGACTCCTAAAATGCCCACAATGGCCAAGGCTTGGCTAGGCCAAAACCAGGAGCCTTGAGTTCTGTCTGGGTCTTCCATGTGTGTAGCAGGGACCTGAGTACATGAGTGCCTCAAGGTACATGAGCGGGATGCTGGAAGTAGCAGCAGACCAGGACTTGAACCCAGGTACTCCAATATGGGTATCCCAAGCAGCATCTTTTTTAATTTTGAAAGGCAGAGTTACAGAGAAAGAAGGACACACACACGCACAGATCTTCCATTCTCTGGTTCTACTACCCACGTGGCCACAATGGCTGGGGCTGGGCCAGGCTGAAGGCAGGAGCCAGGAGCTTCTTCTGGTTCTCCCACATGGGTGCAGGGGCTCAGGGATGTAGGCCATCTTCTGCTGCTTTCCCAGGTGCATTAGCAGGGAGCTGGTCTCAAACTGGTACCCATGTTATGCCAGTGTAGCAGATGGAGGCTTAACCTGCTACACCACAGCACCAGTCCTCTAAGAAGCATCCTAACTACTGTAGCAAATGCCTACCTGCTCCACAAGCTTTTGGAAAACCTCTTGTATGTGTGGATTTCAAAGCTTTTCCCACCAAAATAAACTTATGTATGTATTTATTTTTTAAAGATGATTTATTTATTTGAAAGGCAGACAGAGAGGTCTTCCATCTGCTGGTTCAATCCCGCAATGGCTACAATGGCCAGAATGGGCCAATCTGAAGCCAAGAGCCAGGAGCTTCTTCTGGGACTCCCACGTGGGTGCAGGAGCCCAAGGACTTGTGCCATTCTCTGCTGCTTTCCCAGGCACATTAGCAGGGAGCTCTATCAGAAGTGGAGCAGCCAGGACTCAAACCAGCACCCATATGGGATGCCACCCCTGCAGGTGGCGGCTTTACCTGCTACATCATAGTAGTGCCCAATAAAGATTTTTAAATTTCATTTTCCATGAGCCTTTTGAAGTACCCTTGTACATTGTTCTCTTAATTTTGCCTGCTTTTTTGAAGTGGCTGGTAGAAAACATTGTTAGTGTGGATTACGTATTTCTACTGCAAGGTGTAAGGTTAGGTGGTATCTTGGAAGGATTTATTTTTAATGAAGAAAAGTGCTTTCAGATGGTTCTCTGAGAAACGTGCAGCCTGAGTGAAGTCTGATGACCTTCTCCTTCTCAGTACTCAGATGAGTTCGTGCAGTCGGCCTACCTGTCTCGCCGTCTCGCCTACTTCTGTGCCCGGCGTCTCTCCTTGCTGCTCAGCGACAGCCCCACCCTCCTGGCTGCCCACTCCCCCCACATGATGATAGGACCAAACAGCTCGAGTATCGGGGCCCCCAGCCCAGGCCCCCCCGGCCCTGGCATGAGCCCCGTGCACCTGGCCTTCTCAGATTTTCTCTCCTGTGCACAGCATGGTCCCCTGGTTTATGGACTTAGTTGTATGTTACAGGTAAGTACTTGGCCCTTGTTACTTCACAGTAGAGCTCAATGTGGGAAACTGGTGGGTTGGGTACAGTGTCTTCAACTTTCGTGTCCCAGCTCTTATTTTCTTTCCCAACCAAATATGTTAAAACTGTAGGATTAGGCCGGCGCCGCGGCTTACTAGGCTAATCCTCCGCCTTGCGGCGCCGGCACACCGGGTTCTAGTCCTGGTTGGGGCACTGGATTCTGTCCCGGTTGCCCCTCTTCCAGGCCAGCTCTCTGCTGTGGCCAGGGAGTGCAGTGGAGGATGGCCCAAGTACTTGGGCCCTGCACCCCATGGGAGACCAGGATAAGTACCTGGCTCCTGCCATTGGATCAGCGCAGTGCGCCGGCCACAGTGTGCTGGCCGTGGCGGCCATTGGAGGGTGAAGCAACGGCAAAGGAAGACCTTTCTCTCTGCCTGTAAAAAAAAAAAAAAAAACCGTAGGATTTTTTATGGCTGTACTTTGGATCAAGCAGAGAGCTTTGTAGTAGGTGTGCACAGGAGTTATTGCAGCTGTCCTTTATTAGGGCCATTAAGCGGTTGTATTAAAAGTCTTTCAGGGAACCCATAGAATAAGTGAGCTGTGGGGCCGTCGTTTTGGAATGATGGCTTTGCCAGGTGGCGTCCCTGTGCTCCCGGTGTTCACACCTTGGGTTGGTGGCCTCTCTTGCTGTCCCCCTATGCTTGACGAGCATTGTTGCCTATGTGGACCTTGAATGTCAGGCAGTGGGCTGGGGGCTGGGCTGATGCTTCGGGGAGTGAGATGTGCTCCTGTTCTGGGGGAGCTCCAGCTTCGTGCTGGGCTCGCCTATTTTGAGCTTCTACTGTATCTTGCACTTTACTAAGTGGCATGGGAGCAGGGGTGGCCCTGAAGACACAGCCACCCTTCTGAGAGAGGGTCCCGTCTTGTTGCAAGGACAAAGGTCATTGATAGAGAGTTTCTAGATAATGTGAAAGGGTTGGCTGGGAGACACTGCAAAAGGGCCGCTTGGCCCCCAAGCCCAAATGCAGGGAGGCTACGGAGGGAAGTTTTCTCAGCTCTACTAATGAGTTTAAAAAAAGAATAAAAAGAAAGTAGAAAGGAGTTTTTGGCAGAAGGAGCAGCATGGAGGACAGCCCAGAAGTCTGATCAGACATGAAGTGTCATGTGTGTTGAGAGTCAGGGTGGGCCTGGTACGTGTTTGAGATGTTGTCCAAGGCTTGGATGCTGTGGAATGGCCCTGTCAGTTGTGTACTTTGGGTGGTTTTGCATTGGTAGAGGAATATTTGTGGGAGTAGAAAGGAAACAGGGAGATAAGGCAAATCAGAGTGTCTTGTGAGTTCATTTTTCAACTCTTTTAGGCTGTTTTGTCCTTTAGCACCTTCAGTTGGATGTGTTCAGAAGGGTGTTACATGGCCGGCTCTGAAGAGTAGGACAGACAGTTGGCCATAGGTGTGGATCCGGGCCATTTGTGTCCCCTGGCTGGTCAGAACCTGGGAGCAGGTGAGATTGCCTGGAGTGTGCAGTGAGAGAGGACCCGCAGATACGAACAGCCGAGTGGTTGGCCGAGGGGGCATCCGTGGAGGAGGCCAGCAAGGGTGGCCATGCCAGGGAGACATCGCTGCTGTGGAAACAAAGATAATGGGCAAAATAATTGCATCCCCGTCATTCTGTTATATTGATAGGGTTACGTCCTGGCCGCTGTTTTGGGATGTAATTTGTGCTGTCATTTGGTTCTCGGAACCAGCCCGTGAGCCGAGGAAGTGAAGCCACAAAGCTGTGCCGGGCTGGGGTCTGCAGAAACCTTCAGAAAGGGAGGAATGGGGAGAGGCTGCCGGAGTTGTCTCCGGTAGGGAGGCGGTCGCTGACCTCGGCTGGTGGAGTTGAAGGGTGGGGAAGAAGCTGAGGAAAGGGGGTAAAGGCTGATGGAGAAGGAGGAGGAGGAGAGCTGTCCATTCTCTTGAGAAGCAGAGTCTGTGAAGGGAAAGCTTGAGAACAGGTCGGGACAGAGATGACCGCTGGGTGCGTGGAAGATTGGTGGGCGGATTTGAACGCACGTCTAAGCGAAGGATAAACTAGTGTATGGTGAATGAGAATATGAGGCAGAGGAGAATGGGAGCCATCAGTGTTCTGGATCTGGGAGGCTTTGAAAAAAAGCACAGGGAAGGACTTTGTCACTGGCCAGAGCTGAGTGGCTCACACACTCCCAGGCAGGAGGAAGGCAGTAGGGATGTGGCCCAGTGAAGACAGAGGCCCTGGGGGTGCTCAGCGACTTGGCATTCTTTACTTCTGCCATCTGCCTTCCACAGAGATGTCTCCTGGCCCGCAGCGTTTAGTCGTTCGTATTTAATATCACATTTTTGATAAAAGAAATATTGCAATCGTTCTCTCAGCTCCCACAGTGTGCTGTTAAGTGGCATGGTGACATAATGGGTAAGACATATGTTTAAAGATCGTTTTTTTAAAAAAAAGATTTATTTATTTATTTGAAAGGCAAAATTAGAGGGAGAGATGGGGGAGGGGAGGAGAGGGAAAGAGAGGTCTTCCATCCACTGGTTCACTCCCGCCCAAATGTCTGCAACTGCCATAGCTGGACCAGTCCAAAGCCAGGAGCTTCTTCTGAGTCTCCCGTGTGGGTGCAGGGGACCAAGCACTTGGGCCAGTCTCTGCTGCTTTCCCAGGCCACAGCAGGAAGCTGTATCAGAAGTGTGATAGCCAGGAGTCAAACTGGCACCCATATGGGATGCTGGTGCTGTATAGCTTTACGTGCTATGTCACAATGCTGGCCCCAAGACATATGCTTTACAATAATTTCAGGCCTGTTTTAACCCTTTGCTCTACCACTTAATAGCTGTCACCTGGCATCTCTGTTGCCCCATCTGTGAGTGGGGGATGACGACAGTACAGTGGTCATGTCATTAGCTCCTAGGGTTCAGGTGTGATAACTGAGCATCTCTAGGACAGTGTTCAGCTGAATCAAATGCAAGTTACAGTCTTTAATCTACATTTAGGAGGCTGCAGCATGGCACGTGTGCCAAAATCAGTGTGGGCCGGTTACACATCTCCTCTGTGGTTCATCCTCTTCTGTTGTGAGATTGGGGAATACTAGCTCATGAGGTGGTTGTGGCTTAGAAGCAAGGTAATCATGTACACTACTAGGCACAGCAGACCGGTGGAGTTAAAAATGTGTGCGAGGACCTGGGGCAGGTGTAGGCAAGGTATACTCTGTGGGCCACATGGTGCCCACAGGCTCAGTGTAGGTTTCAGATTCTTCATGGGTAATGCAAATAAAATGAATAAAGGAGACCATGGCTGAAACTGAATGGCGTGCAAGGCTTAAAACATTTACAATCTGGCTTACGATGGAAAACATTTGGCGACCCCGGTCCAGGATCATTGCCTGCCCAGCATTTGGAAAGCTTCTCTTGTACCATCATTTTAGAGACTCCTTTTTGTTTTTTTTTTTTTTTTTTTTTTTGGCAGGCAGAGTGGACAGTGAGAGAGACAGACAGAGAGAAAGGTCTTCCTTTTGCCGTTGGTTCACCCTTCAATGGCCGCCGTGGCCGGCGCGCTGCGGCTGGCGCACACTGTGCTGATCTGATGGCAGGAACCAGGTACTTATCCTGGTCTCCCATGGGGTGCAGGGCCCAAGTACTTGGGCCATCCTCCACTGCACTCCCTGGCCACAGCAGAGAGCTGGCCTGGAAGAGGGGCAACCGGGACAGAATCTGGCGCCCAGACCGGGACTAGAACCCGGTGTGCCGGTGCCGCAAGGCGGAGGATTAGCCTAGTGAGCCGCGGCGCTGGCGAGACTTTCCATTTTTATGTTTAAATAACTCCTTTGACTATATAGCCTTAAAAATTAAACACCCTAATTCCATCTTACTTTTTAAAAAATTTTATGAAACAAATCATTGTAACCATTTTTTATTAAGCTTCCTAGTTTCCTGTGCTAGAATATTAGCTAATAAATTATGATATTCCTTAATTCCCCAACAGTGGTATTTCTTCCCTTTGAAATCAATAATTTTCAGATTCATTTTTATCACTTGAAAAGTTCAGGTTGGAGTGAGAGATACCTATGTTAAACTCATTGCATAGGGCATTGTGGTTTGGCTCTGATACAATGTCATTTTCACCGTTAAGTCGTTGTTAAACCATTCTCCTTCCTCTAAATACCTGGGTCTTTGCTGCCTCTTTTGCAGACTGTCACTCTCTGTTGCCCAAGTGCCTTGGTGTGGAATTACTCCACGAATGAAAATAAGAGCGCCAACCCAGGCTCACCCCTGGACCTGCTGCAGGTGGCCCCTTCCAGCCTCCCCATGCCGGGTGGGAACACAGCTTTCAATCAGCAGGTACGCTTCCTACTTCTGTGGCTTGAGGGGTGTCTTTCTTCTGGGGCGGGCACCAAGCCATGGTGGGCCAAAGCCCAGGTTTTAGCATTCGAGATGCCCTGGTGCCATTCCCAGCTCTCCCTGTGTCCCTGGGGATGGACGTAGCCTGCTTTGAAGTGCAGAAGTTCACAGAGCTGCGCCCTCTGTGTTTCACCTTCATGTTGCGTGGTTCACGCTAAGTGTCTGCCACCCTGTAATTATGGTGGCAGCTCGGATATGTGACCCTGACTCTTGCAGTAGTCGTTTGTGACATTTAACTGCTGTTATATATGTTCTCACTTTTGCTGGGTTATTTATTTCAAATACTTAGGAAATTTGAGCCATACGATTGTGAATATTTAGAATAAGACTCCTCTACCAAGGAGGTTCTAAAATTAATAAGACATTACTCGTTACTTTCATGCACTGAAGAGTGAGACAAAGAGGATATTTTAGCCCTTTCACCTTTCTATATGGTGTCCTCAAGAGATTTCACTTGCAAAATTTTTTTGCAAGCAATTATTATGCAAAACTGACATTGAATCACTACTTGTGAATTAAAAAAAAAAAGCACACTTCTTGGGCAAAAGCCTACATTTCCTATGATGCTGTCAAGATTGTAGCTCACCATGGGATTCTCTGCTCATGCGGAAAAGCTTGACATGGTTTAGACAGCCACTGCGGCTTTCCAAGCACAAGTTAATTAGAAGTGATTATCTTTCAGGTTCGGGCAAGGATTTATGAGGTAGAACAGCAGATAAAACAAAGAGGCCGTGCAGTGGAGGTGCGGTGGTCTTTTGACAAGTGCCAGGAGTCAACAGCAGGTAGGGAACGCAACCGGAGAACGGGTGCTTTGGCCTGTTGGACCCGATGTTTCTGATCCTTGTCGTCCCCTCCACACAAATCGGGAAGCTCTCTGACAGCGCCCCCTGCTGGATGCTGAGGACGTTCTGCAGTTGATGGCATTTAGATCGCAGCTGTGTGCCATGTCAAGTTGGGTTTTGTTGACAACTCTTTGATGGTATCCGCTGGGGATGATGCATTTTTGGACAATCCTTTTGCCTCCCATAATGATTCTGTATGGTGCTGTTCTAGCTTCACTTGCCTACTAATCACTTGGTTCGTTCTTTCCTCTAGGGGTGACTATTAGTCGGGTTTTGCACACATTGGAAGTCTTAGATCGTCATTGTTTTGACCGGACTGATTCCAGCAATTCGATGGAGACGCTTTATCATAAGATTTTCTGGGCAAACCAAAACAAAGATAACCAAGAGGTAGTTTATATTTCCTCTCTTTTTTCTGCTTTTTATTTTCTCAACACATGTAAACGCTTATGCAGACTTTTCTACAAAGTGTAGTATCCTATGAAGGCACACGCCTAGAAATCTTTTTTTTGTTGTTGAACTAAAATGACTCACCAGTAATAAAATGAAGTGTCCACTGGGCTGCTCTGCCCCTGGTATATTGATTGGAACTATTGTTCTTGGCCTTTTTACCATCACTTCCATTATTTTAGTGTAAGCAGAAGTCCTTCATCTAGTGATTCAACTTTCTATGTGCTTTGGTTTTAACCAGGGGGGTTGTGTTTTAATATACAGCACATCCCAGGGCAGTGCGTGAATACTTGGGATCCTGGTCTCTGATAAATCTTCAGACCCTGTGTTAGTGAGGGCTCTCCAGGGAAGCAGAACCAATAGGAACAAATGTGTGTATGTGCGTTTCTATATCTGTAGCTGTCTGTCAAGACACGGGGTGGGGAACGTGTGACCTGCAGGCCATATGGGGTCAACGAAATCATGAGGTCTGGCCCCGCAAAGGCAGTTGCAGGCAGGATTCCAAATTCAATAAATGTATAGCAGTTTTATAAGTTTTAAGTTGATAATTTTTTGAAAAGATTTATTTGTTGATTTGAAAGAGCTACATACATACATACACACACAGAGTGAGAGAGAGCATGCCCCAGGTCTTCTTTTTGCTGGTCTGCTCCCAAAATAGTAGGGGCTGGGCCAGGCTGAAGCCAGGAGATTCTTCCAGGTCTCCCACTGGAGTGGCAGGGACCCACACACTTGGGCCATCCTCCTCTGCTCTTCCCAGGCCATCAGCAGGAAGTTGGATCAGAAGTAGAGCAGCCAGGAGTAGAACCGGCACCTATATAGGATGCCAGTGTTGCAGGTGGCAGCCCAATCCACTGTGCCACAACCCTGGCCCCTTAAGTTGATAATTTGGTATGGCTCGCAAATGATGTTATAAATATCAAAATGGCCCTTAGCAGGAGAAGGGTTCTCCACCTGTACCCTAAAGAGATGGGGCAGGCTGGACGTCCACAGAAGAGTTGATCTTGCAGAGTTGAGTCTGGGGGCAGAAGGTTCTCTTCCTCTGGGAACCTCAGACTCCTAAGGCTTCCAGCTGACTGAGTGGGGCCCAGTCATCCTTCGGGGGAGAGTCTGCTTTACCCAAAGCAACGGATCTAAATGTTAGTCACATCTGCAAAAGTAACTTCCCTGCAACATCGCCAGTGAGGTTTCACCAAAGAACTGGATACTCTGGTGTAGCCAAGGTGACACATAAAATTAACAATCACAGGTAATTTTTTTAAAAAAGTTATACTTCCTTGGCCATAGAACTGCTGTCATAGGACTTCTGACTTTTTTCCTTTTCTTGAAAGACGTTATTTGGGTTTAGGTTGGGGGGATAGAAAGTCGGCCATCTTTTCCCGAGAAAAGTGTGTGTAGTGTACTGAGCTTGTGCTAAGCCCCAGGAGCCCTGAGGTGGGCTTACAGACCCCTTTGGAGAACACCGTAGTTAGTTACTGTGTAAGTACCTTGGGTTTTTTAAGCTGGGCTTTGGGGAAGGCACAGAAAAAACAATGCTGAACCTGCCCTTCCCTGCCTACACGTGGACCTGGTCATTCCTGTTTTGGAATAACCTGTCGTTGTTGCCCTGCTTCTCAAAGGTGCGGTTCGTGACCATTGATGCCAATCAGAGTGAGCATGTTGTGAGCGAGGGGTCTAGAGTGCGAGCCTCGGCAGGAACAGTCCCCCCTGCTGTAGACTGCGCTGGTCTAAGTCCAGAAAGTGCCGTGCTGACTGCAGCGAGTCTGGCCCTGGGAACCTGAACGTTCGCCTGTTTGTTTTTTTTTTTATATTTATTTATTTGAAAGTCAGAGTTACATAGAGAGGGAGGGAGGGAGGGGTCTTCCATCCACTAGTTTACTCCCCAGTTGTCTGCAACAGCTGGAACTGCACTGATCTGAAGCCAGGAGCCAGGAGCAGCTTCTAGGTTTCCTGCAAGGATGCAGGGTCCCAGGGACTTGGGCCATCTTCCACTGTGTCGCTCCCCCTCTTCATGGAGGAACGACACTAAACCCTGCCTAGGCTTCATATCCGAGTCACGGCACCATTATGTCGCTCCCCCTCTTCGTGGAGGAACGACACAGGACCCTGCGCTGTTCTTTTGTCTGCTCGGCCCTCCCCGGGTTTGCTGCTGGTTCTTCCCGGGTTGGCTACCGTCCCTTCCACCTCCGTGGAAGGGCGGTTCCCCCTGCCACTTTCCCCACTTCCGCGGGGGAGCAGCACACCACCGGCCAGCTCTCTCGGGGGCTGCACAGGTGTTCCTTCAGATAGATGTTCCTGGTGCATGTTGTCTCTCTCCTCCTTTATAGTCCTCTTCCGCCAATCCCAACTCTGCTACCCACACGCCGAGTACGCTGCTCTCCTTCAATCAGGAGCAAGTCCTGCTGTTTATTGGTTGAACTGGAGGCAGCTGTGTAGAAGCTGTTTCCTCCTCTCCCAGCGCCATATTGTGGGAGAGCAGATGCATAGAATAAGTCTTAATTCCAGTAACAGTCTAGTCCGAGTTGCTCCCCACACACTGCTTTCCCAGGCCACAGCAGAGAGCTGGATTGGAAGTGGAGCAGCCAGGACTCGAATTGGCAACCATATGTGATGCCAGTTCAGGTGTTAGCTTTACTTGCTACACCACAGTGCTGGCCACATTGCCTGTTTCTAATAATGACTTCCTTAGACAAGACAAACCAGATATATAATAGTACACAGAAATGAGTCAACTGGAAGGAAATTAGGGATACCCAGGTTCAAGGTGATTTTGGGATGCTAAACTTCTTGTCCCAAGTGTCAGTAAAAGCTGCATCATGCCCTGTGAGGGCTTTCCCAGGCCCATCAAAGCTATGTCAGTCTCGGGGTCAGGCTGTGTGACTTTCTAGTAAACAGAGTTGCCAACGTCAGAGTTATTTCCTCATGCACCAGTGGAGATTTAAGTTACCCACAAGCAACCTCATGAGAAGATGTTAAGAGCGCCTTATCCTGGGCAGAAATGGTTCCAGATCCATGCATGCTGTTGGTTAAGCAGTATTGCCCCCTGGGCAAAGGCTTGAGATACATGTAAGAAGACATTATCAGAATTTTGTTTAGATTATGTTTTTAAAAAACTCTGTTGTCTTAAGTTTTTCTCTTTTATAAAAGAGTTTATTTATTTGAAAGATGGAGTTACAGAAAGAAAGGGGGAAAGATCTTCAATCCACTGGTTCACTCCCTAAACGGCCCCAACAGCCAGTTCTGGGCCAGGCCGAAGCCAGGAGCCAGGAGCTTCCTCTGGGTCTCCCACGTGGGTACAGGGTACATGGATGCCAGGGTCACAGGTCACGGTGGCCTAACCTGCTGTGCCACGATGCCAGCCCCTTGTGTAAGTTTTATAATGGGCATAATTATTCTGGCAGTAATAGGACAAGAGGGTATGAATAAATATGAGGAGGCTTCAAAAATATGTGGGAAAAATGGCATTGAGAGTTCTTTATTTTTGTGGAAAAAGACTTTGAAGTCCATGCATCGTTGCTTTTATAATATGCATCTTCCATGAACTTTTTGAAGGCCTCTTGAATATGTGTTTTGAGAGTTTTTGCTTAAAACAACAACAACAACAACAACAACCACCACTCTGAGCTGAAAGGATTAAGGGAGAAGAATTTGGAGGTCACAAGTCTAGGCTTCCCTAAAGGGGCTGTCTCTGCTTAGGTTGCAGGGTGATGCATGCCACTAGAGGGCGACATGTGCCCAGGGCTGAATCCTGGCTGCACTAGGAACACTCGTCCCTGGAGGGAATGTCATTCATTGTCTTACTGAATGCTGACTCAGCTCCAGAACTATTTGACGTGAGGCCATGGTTGCTTTGTGGTTAATGTGAGGATACCTCAGAACGTCCATGGAAAATGAAGTTAAATGATACGTTTATTTTGATGTTAGAAGTCTTTGAGGTCCATGCATAGTATTTTCATAATAGAATTATCTGTGAATTTTCTGAGGGACCCTTGGATGTCTTACGAGTAACACAAAAACTGCCTTTGAGAACTGCCATCTGGACTGGTCACCTTGACTCCAACAGGGAGGAAATCTGGACAGCGAGACCCTTTATACTGTTAAATAGTAAATCAATTTTTAAAGTGTGACGCTGGCATCTCTGCGTGTGTTTGTATCCAGATATGTATGTGTATGTATGTAAATCCAACGTCTCACCTCTCTGTTGACTTTTCAGCGGGAACTTCTGTTTTCCTGATGAGCGAGTCTCCAGCCGTTTCTGGGATTGGGTGTGTGAGCTGGGGCACTGTGTTGGCACTGACCAGCTGTGTGCCTCAGAGCCCGTTCCTGTTCCATGGGCATGTGGTACCAGTTCTGTTCATTCTTCAGGAGACTCCAGCCTTGGAGAATCGTAACCCACCGTACAAATAGGTTTCAAAAATTCTGGTTGGCAGCAGCCCTCAGGGAGCAGTCAGTATTCTATTGGAAGAGCCAAGATGATGACGGTATTCTCTGATACAGAGAAGTTGTTTATAAACCCAGCTCGCTTCTTGAAAATGCACTTCCTCTTTGTGTGTGTGTGTGTGTGTGTGTGTGTTTCATAACTTGTCTCAGGGCCTGAACAACATAATAGATCATCTGTAGCTGCAGTGGGTAGGAGGTGTCTTCCTACCGGAAGTCGCGACTCCATATGGTGGGGCCCTGGGTTGCACATCCTGCTTCCCCACGTCTGGGAAACTTTGAACTTCACCCTCGAGTCCTGTTTCTCTGCAACCACTTTGGGGGAATCCTGTCCTCTGTACTTCCTCGTAGGGAAGAGGAAGAGTGCTTGTCCAAATTGGAGAAGCCAGAGGGTGTGAAGTGCAGGTTTGGTTGTGTTGACTCTGTTTCAATACTTGGTGGAAGACCATTGGCAACTGTAAGGCATGGGCCCCGTGGGGGGCGCCCTGTGGTCCTGGGAGTGA